TCAGGGAAATTCAGCGTCCTGTTGAGTTTGTCCCCGAAAAACTTGAATTCTAAAACTCAAAGATTATTATGAGAGTTAGANCTCGTTTTTCTCTCGATGTATGCTGCATGATTGAGAATTTTTGCATATTTTTTTCTGATCTCAGTCTCAAGAAAAAAATTATGAATTATTGAAGAAAAACTAGTGGGTGATGAATTAAGGGACATATTGACCTCATAGTCTATTTTTTTTAAGATTACAACGATCGACGAAATTAATTACGTAATGCACTTGTAATTTACAGATTACATTACCTTCATGGAACTGGGCATGGCGTCGGTGCTTACCTGAACGTCCACGAGGGACCAAATGGAATTTCTTGGAGACCGCTCCCCGATGATCCTGGAGTCCAGCCTGGAATATTCTTCTCTAATGGTCGAATTTCATCATCTATCATTCCCTCAAATTATTAAATCATAGTCAATCGATTTTTACATCTCGTTGAATACTGGATCATTCCTTCAATGAGCGAATTTCGTTGAAAATGCCAGAAGCTTCCTGGACAGCTGAGAAGATTTTCAAGAAATCTCTCTCGATATTTTTCTCCAGAGTCACACATCATCAAAATAATTTAATTTATGCCCCATAAAGAGCTCGAAAATCGACTTGTTCTATCAGACATTTTGCTTTTCTCTCTTGAATTTTCAATAATTCATTAATATATTTTTTGATATTAATAAATTATCATTATTATGATTATTATTCATTAATTATAAAAAGAATATCGCAATAAAAAATATATTAATAAATAATAATCATAAAATGATAATGTATTAATATCTTTTTGAAAAATAACAATGAGAATTAATAAATTATCATTATTAATATTTTTATTCATAATGATAGTTTATTAATATATTTTTTGTTTCGATCCTTTTTTTGATAATTTATCTATTTATTTTTGATAATTCATTTTTCACTGAGATATCGAAAATCGACTTGTTCTGTTAGATATTTTGTTTTGTTCTTTCGAATATTCAGTTTGAATATGAAGAAATTGTCGTGCTTTTACAGAACCTGGATTCTATGAGGATGGACAGTTCGGGGTTCGTTTAGAAAATGTTCAATATGTTGTACCTGCAAATACGCCATATCATCACAGAGACCTGCAGTTCCTCACGTTTGAACCAGTTACTTTCGTGCCCATTCAAACAAATCTTTTAGATGTCTCTCTCCTCAGCGATGAAGAGGTGAACTTCTATAGTTTTTCGTACAAAATGAAATTTCATAATTTATGTTCAGAGATAATTTTTTGTAGGGGAGACACCCCCTGATTTCCTATGGATGAGACGAAGTTTAAGAAATGCATTGCTATGGAAAATGCACTGTCGCTTTCGATTTAGGGAATAAAAAATCAGGAATTTACAAATTTTACTGAAAATTGAATGAAGTTTCAAATTTTTCAGCGGAAAAAGACTAGAATTCTCCGTTTTTAATTAATTGAGAACTGGAAAGTAGATTTACCTGAATTTTCCAGGTTTCTATCTATTTTCTTGGAATAATTGAGCTGAAATGCAATTTTCATTGATTTTTTTAGGAAAATATGAATGAAAAATTTTCAGTTTTGCTGGAATTTTCAGAAACTTCGTCATTAAAATTCAGTTTTCATACTTTTCCAATTTTTACGGCAAAATTCCTTGAAATTCCAGAAAAACTCAAAAATTTTCATGTGAAAGGTTCATTGAGGAATTTCGTGTACTCCTCACAGATTAGATAAATAATATACCAGAAATCTATAAAAAAGTATAATGATTCTCGATTCGCCTCGTCCCACTAATAAACCACGATCATTCGCAATTTCCAGATAACGTATCTGAACAATTACCACGCGCGTTGTGTGGAGGTGCTCCAGCCCCTGCTTCAAGGTGAGAAAAACGCCCAGGCACTGGAATGGCTGAAAAAGGAGACCAGACCCGTTTCCAGATAATCCCAGGATAACATCGATGAACTATAAAAATCAACAAAATACCAATGTCCCATCTAGATAGAACTTTTAATACTTGAAAAAGAGGAAGAATCAATAAAACTGGTGATGAAGTATTTTCATACAATACGCTTTTTATTCATTACTTCTATAATTATCATTGAGCAATGGAATACAATTATGTACAGCTTTGGCAGATCTCAATCTATCACAATGACGTTGTCTAAATTTCAGGACAATGGTGAATCTTTGAATAATTACACAAAAATAATAATTATTACATTATCATAATTTTAAAAAGTGTAATATTATTGGGAATAGAAGAATATTGTGTTTGTTTATTATTATGTGCATTATTATGATAACGTAATATATTATTATTGTATAATTTTAGTTATTGGATACAATTGTCGTTAAAAATGCTGAGAGTTTCATTTAACAGCGAATAGTAAAACTTGAGATTACGTATCTACATTTCGATTGCTTACAGGATGTACAACTGCTTTAGAATGATTGCGATTAAAATTCGGAAATTCCACGTAAGAATACCCTCGACTGGAAACATTGAGTATATCCAAGAATTTTGGCTAGTCTTTTTGTGAGGAATTTTGAGGAATATTTCGTGGTATAATTACTAATTCCACTCTAAACATCACTTTTTTTCCAAAATCGTCATGAATTTTTCGGAATTCAAAATGGAAAATTCCACTAGAATTCGAGTCAACGTAAAATAATAAAAATAGATTTCTGAAAGTTTAAACAATCTTCATTGCATTCTCGTAAAAAATTTATTTTAGGAAAAACTGATATTTTTCAGAGAAAAACTGTATTGGCTCCAAAAAATGGTTAATAAACGAAAAAATATTGCAATCTTTTTGGATAAATAACCAGAATTTTCAGGCAATATTTGTTGATTCATCTTGAAAATAAGGGTTATAGAATAAAATGTCAAGATGCCTCAAGAAAGTCTCAACAAAAACTGTCTCTTAACAATTCTACCCGAAACAATAAAAAATCAATTTTCCTCTAATTAATTCTCTATCAAATTATTTTGGCAATTTTTTTCCTTCGAAATACTTTCCAATATTTGTAGTTGAACATCATAGTGTCTGTTTAAAATTCACGTAGCCCTAAATTATTGAATGATTTTGTAATAATTTTGAAGTATTTCGAAATCTTTAAAAATTGCTAAAGTGTAATTTTATGAAATATATTTTTTTTAAATTTAAATTTAAGAAATATTCGTAGCGAAGTTCATGATTCCAATTCTTGAAGATGATTTTGACCCTAAAAATCGCTTTCTCAAAGTCATAACGAATTTTTTTTTAATTAAAAAATTCAATTAAAAATTGATTAAACGCAAAAAAATAATGAATTTCTGAATGGTTAAACAATTTCCCATAAAAAGATTTATAAACATTCGTTGTTTGTAAATAAATAATCAAAATTGTTTAAACTTTCGGAAACTTTATTTTTTTAGGCATAAAATAGATTTTTAGTAAAATTATGAATATGAATGTATTTGTTACGATTCCGAAATGATTTTTATGGTGGAAAATTGATTGTTTATAAATTATTCACAGAAAATCCTCGTAATTCTCAAAAATTACAATTTTCAAATTATTTAATCAATCTTTCTCCCAAAATAAACTTTAAATTTTTTCAGATGTTTAAAATATTTTCTGCAAACTTTAAATAATAAAATAATTGTGAAATGTCCGGGAACAGGGTCAAATGAGCCTCAAATGAAAGCTTTGACGTTCAACTCCAAAATTAGAAAAGCATTTCACTGGAGAAAAAATACTCAAACTACTTGGATCTCCCCAAGACATTTCGAATAATTTTTTTCATTCGATTTACAATAAAAAAAAATATGCATTTTACGGAAAAAAACGTAAGAGTAAAAAATCTGACACTAAAAATTGAATTTACGAATGCGTTCTACGACTTCACTCCTCAACTTATATATGAACCCACGTCGGTCTGTTGTAAGCATGCCTAGGTGTGAAAGTGAGATTTACCGGTATATTGATAATCGCATGGGGAAGCTTCAATTGTCTCAAAGTATCCCTAATCATTCGGCCGTTTTTACCCAACAAAAAACCAGCTGGAATGTTAATATCACCGGAACTATCTCCCCCAGCGTCCATGTCGATATACATGTGATCTTTCCATATGGGAGTTTTTCTGTCTGCCTCGACGCTAAGTATATGGTCTGAAATAATCACAGCTTTAGCGCCAGCTTTTTCAGCATTTGCCGCTTTCTTACTGAAGGTACAGCCTCCCCTTTCGATTAATGCAACTGCCCCGAATAAATCATCGGCATTGTCCGGTTGTTTACAGCAATCTGAAGGTATTGTCGGAATGAGAGCAATGTTTTTCTCCGAAAAACTTGAATTCTAAAAGGCCAAGATTATTATGAGAGTTAGAAATTTAATTTATATAGCTGGAGAAAAGCAGGTGCTTTATGTGGATGATATTGGTTGATAATTCAATTAAAATATTGAGTTGAATGAATAATTTTAATGTTTCAATAATTCAAATTACTGAAGTTAATTCCACACGTGTTTTTAATTATCTAGACATTTCAAGAATTTAAAGAATTTAAACTTTTATAGAATTTAAAATCAATAAATTTATTCAAAATAATTCAAGGTTTGAGGAATTTTGCCATTGAAAATTCACAATTCTATAAAAAATGCAATGGAAACCGTAAATTAAAATTTAATTATTCCACGAAATTTTCTAGAAATCAGGGAAATTCAGCGTCCTGTTGAGTTTTTCCCCGAAAAACTTGAATTCTAAAACTCAAAGATTATTATGAGAGTTAGAAATTAAATTTATGTAGTTATATTGAGTTGAATGACTAATTTTACTGAATTTTATTAATTCCACACGTGTTTCTTAATAGGGAATTGTCTAGGCAGTTCAAGAGTTTGGAAAAAACTCTTATAGTGTTTTTGTTGGATGATTTTAATGAATTTAAAATGATTAAATTTATTTAAACGAATTCAAAGTTTGAGGAATTTTGCCATTGAAAATTCACAATTCTATAAGAAAACAAATGGAAACCGTCAATTAAAATTTAATTATTCCATGAAATTTTCTAGAAATCAGGGAAATTCAGCGTCCTGTTGAGTTTTTCCCCGAAAAACTTGAATTCTAAAAGGCCAAGATTATTATGAGAGTTAGAAATTTAATTTATATAGCTGGAGAAAAGCAGGTGCTTTATGTGGATGATATTGGTTGATAATTCAATTAAAATATTGAGTTGAATGAATAATTTTAATGTTTCAATAATTCAAATTACTGAAGTTAATTCCACACGTGTTTTTAATTATCTAGACATTTCAAGAATTTAAAGAATTTAAACTTTTATAGAATTTAAAATCAATAAATTTATTCAAAATAATTCAAGGTTTGAGGAATTTTGCCATTGAAAATTCACAATTCTATAAAAAATGCAATGGAAACCGTAAATTAAAATTTAATTATTCCACGAAATTTTCTAAGGGAAATTCAGCGTCCTGTTGAGTTTGTCCCCGAAAAACTTGAATTCTAAAACTCAAAGATTATTATGAGAGTTAGAAATTAAATTTATGTAGTTATATTGAGTTGAATGACTAATTTTACTGAATTTTATTAATTCCACACGTGTTTCTTAATAGGGAATTGTCTAGGCAGTTCAAGAGTTTGGAAAAAACTCTTATAGTGTTTTTGTTGGATGATTTTAATGAATTTAAAATGATTAAATTTATTTAAACGAATTCAAAGTTTGAGGAATTTTGCCATTGAAAATTCACAATTCTATAAGAAAACAAATGGAAACCGTCAATTAAAATTTAATTATTCCATGAAATTTTCTAGAAATCAGGGAAATTCAGCGTCCTGTTGAGTTTTTCCTCGAAAAACTTGAATTCTAAAACTCAAAGATTATTATGAGAGTTAGAAATTAAATTTATGTAGTTATATTGAGTTGAATGACTAATTTTACTGAATTTTATTAATTCCACACGTGTTTCTTAATAGGGAATTGTCTAGGCAGTTCAAGAGTCTAGGAAAAATTTTTATAGGGTTTTTGTTGAATAATCAGTAATAGAAAATGTCTCTTGATTTTTTGTCCTAAAATGTCTTATTTGCCGATGTTAAAGCTTTACTTATCACCCTGTTAGAATTTATATTTAAAAAGTCTCAATTTCTCTGAAAGTTTGAGAAATTTCGTTAATGAAAATTGACAATTCTATGAGAAAAGCAATGGAAACTTCAAATTTAAATTCAATCAATCCATAAAATTCAATTATAAATTTAAATTTAATTATTCCATAAAATTCTACAAAGATCAGGAAAATTCAGCGTCCCTTTAAGTTTTTTTCCTAAAATCTTGAATTCTAAAACCCCAAGATTATTATGAGTTTTAGAAATTTAATTGATGTTGTTAAAGAAAAGAAGATGTTTTATATAAATGATATCAATTAATAATTCAATTGAAATATCGAGTTGAATGAATAATTTAATCAACATTTTCTTAAAATGAAGCGACCGAGGAGGAACCGTTTTGAATGAGAAGACGCTATGAAAACTATCGATTAAGAATTATTTTAAGCTAGTTACACTAGAAATAAAAAGAAATGAGCAATTTACCGAATAGGAACACTTCAAAAGTGCAATATCCCGGACTAGAACTCTTTTGGGAGAAAACGTTAAAAGACATTGTATTTAGATTTCCTTAGGCATAAAAAAATCTAAAAACAATTTCTGCAAAAAACTTTGCACACATTTTTTATCTCCAAAATCACATTTATTCCAGACGAATGCACCACTAAAAAATATGAGTTGATAGAGGAGAACTTGGGGTGAAATAGGCCCTTTCTCATTCATTCATTCCCTTTTCTGAGCTCCAAGATAAACTCATATGCATCGAAATCGTATTCGTTAGCTCAGTAATTCACATTAAAATCGAAAGAAAAAAATAAACGCCAAAGTTGGAGTTGTGGGCGCAAATGACAATAAATAAGGGTTTTTATTTCGCTTGATTTGGAAAAGAACATCTCTGCTAGTGGTAGGCATTTTTATGATCATAAGATTTACGAAAGAGTCTCTAGAACGAAATCATAAAAGAGCGGGGAAGAAAGGTAGTAAAAGATTCCTCATGCTGTTTTCCGATTTAGATATGGGTTTATTCGTTGATTGTGTATTGTGTACAGTGTGGCCCATCAGGAGGTCCCTATTTTCCTGGGTGCGCAGGGCAAACGCATTTTGAGTGAAGAATGTTGTTATTAAAAACGAAAATATTCATTTTAATTCAGGAAAAATTTTCCGCACGTGAAACGTCGATGAGATTCGAGTTTTTTTATTGACAAGACACGAGATAGAAGATGGAAGAAGATGGAATTATGAGACTGTATCACGTTTTTGACGTTAAGTGTAGGAAAATCTGAATGCAATACAGTGAAAATGATGATCGATTTTTTCACTTTGATCAAATGATATTAATCTCCAAATTAATCGAACGTGGATCATAGAATAGTGGAAAAGCAATAGTAACACTCAACACATTGTCAATTCACGTTTCGCTTTTATAATAATGATCCGAAATAGTACAATTTTCTGCAATTTTTTGATCACAGCACAGCGGCGAAACGGAAGGGGAGGGGAGTCTTATTGTTCTCGAGCCCTGATTCAATCGCTGAGCACGAAATTTTCCAATTTTCAAATAACTATTTAAGTGTGCATCTGAACATTTTTTGAATATTGATTTTATCTATCAGATTGATTGATTTTTTTCTCATCACCTACGGGTGTCAAATAATTTTTATTGGATGTTTTTCTAATTATTGAAATAATATTAAAATGCGTCTCGAGTTGGTAAACCTGTCGAGTGTTTTCTCTCTCTCAGTTCCATGGTCCAACCCATACCTTTCCCATGATGCTCACCGACATTCGAATCACGCGCCTGCTCGTGAGGGCGTAATTGCCCCGAAACTCATAATTTTCCGAATCATTTGTTCAAATAACTTTCTTATGAAATCTGAAAAAAATCTGAAACTTACACGTGTTCTCAAGAAAGATTTTATTTATCACCCACTAGTTTTTCCTCAATAGTTCATCATTTTTTTGGGTGCCATGGAAATTTCCCTAATTGAGAGTGGGGTAACCTCGGAGGTTATAGCTGGAGGGATTACAAAAATATCCAAATTTCATTATTTTTTTTCCTGAGACTGAGCTCTGAAAAAAATGCGCAAGAATTCTGAATGATGCAGCATACTCAGACACTTCTCCCACGAATTTTCCAATTTTCTTTCATTATTCTTACTTTTTACACGAAACACCTTAAAATCTTATTCAGTGAGCATAGGAATTAGCAAATCATTTAGCGTAATATGGAAATTTAACAGCTGATAAATTGGGACATATGATTCTCACCGGTCGTACTGCATTTTGCAATGAGAATGATTGTAAATAATTAATTGAAAAAAGGAGTAGCCGAGATCGGGGTAAAACGGACACTTGACTTTTTTTTAAATGTTAATGAGGGCTTGAAATGTTGATGAAATTTAATAATTTTGTTTTCAATACAAAGAACAATTCGTTCCCTTTGTGACGAGCCTAAACTGAGTTCAATTGATAAATTTGTTCCTGGGTTATGAACAATTAAAAAAAAGTCTAGTGTCCATTTTACTCCACCCGTCCCTATTGTCAAAATTTCATTGTGACTCACAAAATTTGCTCCCAAACTTCGAGCCGGTCTCACCCTATAAGTAAACTGCAACTCCGGTGGATGAACAATTTCAAAAAAAACATCGTTCCCAATTTCCTCGACACTGTGACTGTTCGTCGTGTAAACGTCATTCCTGCTGCCTAAAAAATTCAAACAAATTCCTCTGAACATTAAATCCCCGATTAGCCGGCAAGAAACACCGTGAGCTCTCGCTATCAGGTGCCACGCGTAAGGCCTGATTAATAGCGAAATAAATAAACGAAGAATAAGTATTACAGACCTCGTCCATGTCCACAGGGTATCCATGCAATTAAAATCATAACGGTGAATAACATTTCTATTAATATAATAACAAGTACCTTAACGCTTTAATCTTTGTTGATAGAGATATACGGTATTGAATTATTTTGACAAGCGTACGAGCTGCGAATATTCCATTGAAATTTATTCGATGTCGCTGGCAACGTGCAGTGACGTAGCCCGTGCGCCATGTTTGTTTGACTGGCGCGCGCAGGCGATCCCGTCAAGCCATTTCCCGCCAAAAAATTCGGATCCAAATGCCCAACGACTGAGATCCGCCAATCTCTTACTTGAAGATGCAAAATGACCAGAATTTTCCAGACCGCGTCATGTGACCAAAAATGACGGTCATGTGACGCATAAATTTTCGAATAAATGAGGGTCGCAAATAGTTTGTAAGTAAATTGTTGTGGAGCCATTTGTATAGGTTGTGGCGTTGAAACCAGATTAAACTAATTCAGTAGCGCAGTGGTAAAAGGAGATGAGTGAATTTTTACTATTGACCAGTTTTCAATCGCTATCTCAGAATCTAAGAGAGATAGCAAAATTTTTGTTATAACCTTTTTTGTGGAGCCGATTGAGTGCTGCAACAAAGGTGATTACGAAAATTTCGGTATCTCCCTTAGATTCGGAAATATTCCTCAAAAACTCAACTGGGAGATAAGTCGACTTATCTTCGTTTACCACTTTCACTACTGAATTATTCCTCCAAGATTTCAAATTATTTTCCCAAAATAATCTAGTTTCAATGGTCTTGTAGACTAAATCACGTACAAGGTGGATGTCCCACAATAGCTGCCTTTCGGCATGAAAATATTATCAAATATACTTACTTTGAAATTTTATTGGGACCGAAAGTATTATCAAGAGTTCAAAAATATCATTAAATTGTTTGAAATCATTCGTTTATCAATTACTACGAAGTAGTTAAATCTGTTCGGGCTAAATTATTTTATTGGTGCCAGATAAATCAAAAGAGATATTTTCCAATTAACAAAAGAAAAATTATGTTTATTCAGTAATTTTAATTATTGTTCGGGACTTTTAATACTAAATGATTGTTTTAAATCAAATTGAAGAATGGAAACCAACGAAAATATTTGAGACGCAAAAGATTTTCAGTAGTATGACTAAAATTCGTCGTTCGTAAAAATTTCAAAATTTCCCACTTGAAATTTGAGTAATAATTTTTTCTCCGCGCATTAGAGTGTAATCATTACCTCATTTTCTCGGCACTTTCCCTAGAAAATGTTTCCCCTGCCGGGATGAAGCAACTAGTTCCAAAAATATCGTCATAAATCGACGCAATTCCGTCAATCATAAAAAAAACAATAATAAACGAGGATGGGGCATGACAGCAGCGGCAACACCATAAAAAGACCCGTTCTCTCCGTGCACTCCAAAGAATAAAGTTGAGGATCCGTCTTACTTTATTCGCAATAGATTATGAATAAATGAATTTTGAATTCCATAAATTTCACTCTACTCTGGGGACGCGAAAAATTTATCAAAAAAAGCGAAAATAATTAAAATATAAATGTATTGGACAACGCTAGGTTCATGCTCTCACCTTATTGACGAATGACAACTGGACTTCAATTAGAAAATATCAAATGGAAAGGAATTTTATGTTCGGGGTAGGAGTCAAATTTGTCGTTGTTAAACATTTAAAAATTTCTCACTTGAAATTTGAGTAATAATTTTTTCTCCGCGCATTAGAGTGTAATCATTACCTCATTTTCTCGGCACTTTCCCTAGAAAATGTTTCCCCTGCCGGGATGAAGCAACTAGTTCCAAAAATATCGTCATAAATCGACGCAATTCCGTCAATCATAAAAAAAATAATAATAAACGAGGATGGGGCATGATAGCAGCGGCAACACCATAAAAAGACCCGTTCTCCCAACTTTCTCGCTTTTAATTCCACAGACGCCAATCCAATGGGGATCTCTCTTTCACTTAAATCGCGCGTGCGCGGCATTGCACACCAGCAAAACCCACACGACGATTTTATGAATGAAACGAATGGGGTCCCAGAGAACCGAATGAAAACACGGTACGTTGGTTTATACATGAACGAAGGGGCCCCTTGTATGAGTGAAAGCCCATGCACCCAGCGCCAACGTGTTTGTGCGCTCGAGCGTAGCAATTTCGATTTGTCGAATGTGTTGAAGTTCTCCGATAAATTATAGCGAATATGCCGGGGAAAATCATAACTACGCTGTTGGAAATTTTTTTTAATTTCATGCAAGATATTGTAGTCGATCTCATGGGGGTGACATTAAATCGGATTTGGGGAAAAATGGTAGAATTCACGGAAATTCATGAGTTTTCAGCGGGAGAGAGATGGAAATTTCACGACGATTGAATTTTCAGTGGGACGTGAATATTCTGAAACAAAATCACATGAATTTTCAATTTTTCATGGAATTTCCCAGATTTTTCTGAACTTTTGTAGAATAATTAAACTGAAAAATCAATATTTTATCGATTTCCAGATCATTTGAACAGAAAATCGATGGAATATTTGATTTTTCAATGAAAAGATTTCCTGAAGTATCAGTGGAACTTGAACACGATAAAAATTTCCGGAATTTGGCACGGAAAATTCAGACGAAAATTTTTAGCAGTTTCTGGGCCATGAAATTTCTTCTAAATTTTCAAACTCCTGAAATTTTTGTCGTATTCAATTTCCACTGGAATTTCAGGAAATCGTGTCATTGAAAAATCGAATATTCCATTGATTTTCAATTCGAATGATCTGAAAGTCCCGAAAATCCCTGATTTTTCAGCTTAATTATTCTGTAAAAATTCATAATAATCAGAAAAAATCCGGAAAAAATGAAAAATTCAAATCATTTTGTTTTTGAAAATTCATATTCCATTGAAAAATCCATCAAATTGCGAAATTGTCATCTCACTCCAATTGAAAACTCATGAATGTCCTTCAATTCCGCCTAAAACTTCAAATTCCATAACCATTTCTCCCCTAAATCCGACTCAATGTCACTCTCATGAAAATTCCTACCACATCTCCCACAAAACCAACAAAAATTTCAACAGTGTAGAGTATCTTCGATTTTCAACAAACGCCTCACCGGTTTCTCGAGCGGACCGTCCGTCACCAATCGGTCCTCGACCAGGCGTCACCAGCGCGCGCCAGCCCTGATTAGAAATCAACATTGATGGATTATTTCCTGCTTGCAATCGCAGTCCATTTCCCTCACGACGCCACGCTAATTCTCGATGCATGTTTACAAGAACCTCAGCTCACCAACCAGTTGACCCCGGGACTCGAACCCGTGACCATCCGTTTACGCATCAGGTGTTCCCCAGTCTCGCCATCGCCAGCGCCAAAAATATCCCTGATTATTTTTCCCCATGGCATTTCGACCAATCAGAGCGCAGTATTTGAGGCTACCCGACAGTTTTATTTCGGATATTTCCTCCTAGCTTTTGAATATTTCGCAGTAGCTCTTCATTTTTCCGGCTCATTTCAAATATAATCTTATATTTGCCTCGCGCAAGCGCTCGGGATTTTTTAACCTGAAAAACTTGACACCCTCACGAAGCTATCGGCAAATACCCGATAATTTTGAAGCTCTTAGGGTATCCTATTTACTAAAGATGAAAGAAACGTGAAGTTGTTTTATATCGAAATATCCTATTTACTAAAGATGAAAGAAACGTGAAGTTGTTTTAGATCGAAATATCTCGANCCGGCTCATTTCAAATATAATCTTATATTTGCCTCGCGCAAGCGCTCGGGATTTTTAAACCTGCAAAACTTGACACCCTCATTTGTTTGCAACGAAGCTATCCGGAAATACCCGATAATTTTGAAGCTCTTAGGGTATCCTATTTACTAAAGATGAAAGAAACGTGAAGTTGTTTTATATCGAAATATCCTATTTACTAAAGATGAAAGAAACGTGAAGTTGTTTTAGATCGAAATATCTCGAAACTGCCTGACCGCTAATCCTCAATTTTGATTGGTCAATGAGTCACGTGAAGTAGTCGCTGAAAAAAATCCCCGGTATTTTCAAATTCTTCAAATGGAAAAAAAATTTTCTGCGTCATATTTTTCATTTTTTCATGTGTGAAGTTTAGCTTTATATCAAAACATATCTAAATTGCCTAATTGTTGATCATGAGAAAAAAACATGGTATTTCTAAATTTTTTTAACACACAAATTATTCTTCACTTCCCAAATTTTAATTTTTTCATATTTATCATACGCACAAATGATCAATTCTTGCTTCTCAGATTTTCATACATAAATTCTAAACTCTACAAAATTCATGAAAATTCTTCGGTTTCCCAAATAATTCGAGAAAAATCTTTGAAGAGCTACGGTTATCTGGAAAACTGGAATTTTCCGAAGAATTCAAGAAATTTTTTCAGTATTCTGGGAAATTAATTCATAACCCTCCCCTCATTTTTAAACAATTACAGATTTTAATCAGATTATTTTAAAAAGTAAAAAAAAGAATTAATCGAAAATTAAAAATTATTCATTGATGTTTCACTCTTCATTCTCTTCATTCTCTTTGCGTCATTATCAATGTTTATAAAACATCTATGAGTATATGAAGTTTAATAAATTCGATTTCTTCATGTTCACAACAAAAAGATGAGCGCGCGCGAAAGCGCGCGCCCAGATCTATTTACTAAAAAACTCCAATGCAAATACGTCAGCTGGGACTTCCATCAAGCGCCCTATCATAAGAATGACGTATTTCCCGTACTCCAGGGGTCAGATGGTAAAGTCGTCATTCGCCGAAAATGCATCAAAGATGTTGAGGAGGTGGAGACGTCCGTGAACTTGCGTAAATGACGGGAATAAGAAAAGGGAAAATGTACTAGCACGTTCGGTAAACCCGGAGGGGTAAATATCGTGGCTGTCCGGACGGTCAAGGGCACAAGCGTTGTGACGTCACGCGGTCGCTGCAGTGACGCAACACGGTCGCCAGGGGCAACCCAGGCCCCGGTGGACGGTTGCATGGCAACCCCTCCCCACCGTCAATCCGCCACCCTCCGGGTGAGGGGAGGCTGTACTCCGTCATACACGTGTCGTTTCTTCAATGAACGATTCAACATTCCTGGACTCCCCGCGTCCCACCGGGTCTCCTCACCCCTTGTGCAGTCGATCCCCACTGCCGGCGGGCTACAGCCTCAAC